GTCACAGCCTTCCGTGCGCCTCGGTGTTTAGTCATGCTGGCCACATGACCACGGAGACGTCTTCGGACAGCGCTGGCTCTTTGGCTTGGAAACGGAGATCAGCACCGCAACCCTAGAGTCGGATTCGACTGGCTTTCGAGCAAGGGAAACCTTTACCTTTTTATATGAGCTGTACCCCCTTGTATGTTGGTTCACAGGCTGCGGCTGTTGAGGCTCAGCGTGGACTGTGTGGCAAACCCGTTTTAGAACCATTAATGCTTGGCGACGAGGACAAATGTGCAGACCTGTGCTCTGAAGCGCTGGAAGGCTGAAGAAGCGAGCTGTGACTCAGGAAAGCTTCTCCCCTGCCACAAATGTTGTGAGTCTTGAAGGTGCTCCTGGACGCTGGCTCTTTCCTGCGGCTACAGACAGACGAAACAGGGCTGCCCATCTTAACACTGACCTTGTTGAGTCCCAGGGGTCTGATTCAATGTAAGGCAGCATCATGTGTTTCCATGCGAGGTTTCAGCCCCGGGGCCCGGTCACAGAGGAGCCTGGGCGGTGAGTCTTGGAGTGGAAAGGGGTCTCTTGCAAGCCGGGCCTCAGTTTCTACCCGTCGTGCACGGCGAGGACTGCTTGCACAGCAGCCCACGTAAATTCTGATCCACCGAGCTGTCCGGCGGCTGTCCGGCAGGGGCGGACTGATCCTTTGCCTGAGCGGGAGAGTTTCTGGAAGGCTCCTGGTGGCCAGAGGCGAGCCAAACAGCGCCACCAGCGCCGTGCGGAGAGCAGGGCTCCTCATTGCACCGTGGCCGGAGTCAGGAGGGTGTGGGTGAGCTTCTCTCTGTCGGCCTCGCTGGCTGGGTCCGAGCCCAACGGTGTGGGGGCTGCCCCTCGGCCCGCTCGGTTTGCCCCAGGGCCATTTTTGCAGTCCCATTTGTGCCCCTGCTCTCCAGGCGCATGCAGGGGGGAGCCGTGGTGGGGAGTCAGAAACCCGAGTTCTGCCGCCTGCAGAAGCAGTGGTCTCGCCTTATGGGGAGCCATGGTATTTGGCTGGGGGCTGCTGATCCACTTGGGGCAGGGGGAGTGCTGGTGCGTTGTGCCTTCTCAGCCAAAGCTCGTGTGGTGTAGTGGTTAGAGTGCCGGGCTACGCACCCTTCCCTCAGGATGAGGGTCTCTTCCCTGCAGCAGCTTTCCTTCTGGCTCTGCCCTCTGGAAAGAAAGAACAGCCTTTGCTCTGGCGCCAGCCCTTTTGTTCCCCAGCCCTCTTCTTCCCTATTGGTCAGTTTTGGCTCCAGAACCTCTCAGGGGCTTCTGGGAGTTGTAGGCCCAGCCTCACCTACTGCTAGCCAGGCTCCCTGGGCCTAGTAGGCCTCTGTTGGCACAGCCCAGATCATGACAGAGGCCCAGGTTCAAATCCTGGAATCCACCGTTTTGCGATACTAATGGCAATGGAATAAAGAATTTGTATTTGATGAGGCGGGCATGGGGGAGTGGTTAGAGGGTCAGACCAGGGTCTGCAGGGCTCAAGTTCGAATCCCCACCACCACCACACTCAGCCATGGAAGCCGGCTAGGTGACCTTGGGCCTGTTACACATTCTCGGCCTAACCTACCTCACAGGGTTGTTGAGAGGATTTATTTCGTTCGATTTCGTAACCGCCCTTCCCCGCCTACGCGGGGCTCAGGGCGGTTTACAACAACATGAAATCCAATACAATTTTAAAACCAGTTAAAAACTACAAAATTCCATATTGAAACGTTCAGCATAAGTATAAGGATAACATGGAGAAGGGGGAGATTGGATTTGTACCCCGCCCTTCACTACCCAAAAGAGTCTCAGAGCGTCTTACCATCTCCTTTCCCTTCCCCTCCCCACAACAGACACCCTGTGAGGTAGGTGGTGCTGAGAGAGCTCTCTCGAGGACTGCCCTTGAGAGACCAGCTCTGAGAGAACTTGTGACTGAGCCAAGGTCACACCAGCAGCTGCATGTGGAGGAATGGGGAATCACACCCAGTTCTCTCAGATTAGAGAAGGGGAGAAAAATGGGATCTGCTTTGGGGGCTCCTTGGGGAGAAAGGCCGGGTGTAAATGAAATCGCGGAATAAATTATTCTTTGCACAGTGCATGGCGTGGTGCGGGAGGGACCCCAGGGACTCCGTTCACGGCCCCGGAGACTCTGGAGTTCGCGATCGAACCTTTGCGGAGAGAAAAAGCCGGGTCCGGGTGTCTCTCTTGCACGGGATTGGGCTCCGTTGTGCCAGGAGACCACCGAGGTTTGATGTTTTCTTTTTCCTTTGTAAATCAATGTTTGATATTTGGTAATTTGAGATGAATTAAGCTGATAATTGATGTTTACCAGATCCCACGCCTTGTGTTTGTTCGCCGGTATTTGATCATGAAATATTCATCTCCTCTGATGCCGGCTGGCGGGCGTCTTGGCGTTCTGCGCCCGCGGCGTTGGATGCGTCTGGCCAGCCTGGGGACGGGGTCAGTCTTCAGACAGACAGGTGGGGCTGGTCAGTTCCAAGGCCGGCTTCGAGAGGACGGCTGGGAGGACCGGGAAACCCCCGTCCCGCTGGGCTTCATGGGAGTGGAGCTAAGGGAAATCTGGCAGTGCCAGGCAGCAGGTTTGTGGATAGGGGGCTCCCAGTCAGCCGCCGCCAGCTCCTGGATTGCACAGACTGGGTCAGCCCCTGGAGTGCACAGAATGGGTCAGCCCCTCGCCGCTTCCTCTCAGCAGCTGGGTTGCCAACAGGCCTGGAGAAGAACAGCCCGAAGCTTTATTTATGGCAATCGCATCACCTGGTAAATAGGGCTGCCCGCTCCAGGTTGAGAAATCCCTGGAGATTTGGGGGTAGGGTGGGGTGGAGAATGAGAAGGGCAGGGCTTGGGGAGGGACTTCAGTGGGGTGGAGATTTGGGGGGGTAGACATGTTGTTCTGAAGCAACAGAATAAAGTATGAGTCCAGTGGCACCTTTGGTGTCGTGGTTAAGCGCGCGGACTCTAATCTGGGAGAACCGGGGTTGATTCCCCACTCCTCCACTTGCACCTGGCTGGATGACCTTGGGCAAGCCATAGTTCTGATAAGAGCTGTCCTTGAAAAAGAGCCATTTCTGTCAAGAGCTCTCTCAGCGCCGCTGACCTCCCAAGGTGTCTGTTGTGGGAAGGGGAAGGGAAAGGAGTTTGTAAGCTGCTCTGAGACTCCTCTGGGTAGTGAAGGGCGAGGTATAAATCCAATCTTCTCCTCCTCCTCCTCCTCTTCTTCTTAAATTCTGTTGGGCTATCCGTTTGTGTAGTCTAATACCTGCTGCCTTTATCGTGGAGAGATGGCGAATGGGACTACCATTTAAGCACGGGACGTGTCAATTTGCAGAAAAATAGATGTCCCCCCCCAAAAAAAAGTCTGGCCAAAAACAAAAGGAGGGAAGGAGGGACAGGCCCCCTGCCTCTGACCATGGAGGCCCCATTTAGCCGTCCTGGCCAATCGCATGTGGCGTGTGCTTGGGTCTCCGTCAAAGGCAGAGCAGGGAATAGGACCCGTGCGCATTGTTTTGTCGCTGCCCGGTGCCATTTGCGTCTTCTTTGCAAGGCATTGTGAAAGCGCTGAAATATTCCGAAATATTCCGAAGGAACAGGCTGTGTCAACAAGGCTGCATCTTGGAAACCCGATTTGTGATTCAGAAAAGGATGGCTGAGGAAACAGATGACTGGAGGCAGGGCGGGAGTGGGAAGCGTAAATCAGGATGAATGGCTCCGAGAGAGACAGAGGGGGAGAGAGAGAGAGAGAGAAGGGGGGGGGGGAGTTTCTCTTCCCCCTTTCACAATACCAGCCCTCAGGTCCTCCGGCAAAGCCGATTGGCAGCGGGACAGACAAAAGGAAGTATTTCTTCCTCCGCACAGCACACGTAATTAACTTTACGGAATTCATTACGACAAGATGTGGTGTGATGGCCTCCAACTTTGGGGAAAGGGAGTAGGCAGGGGGTTTTTTTGTCCGTGGTAGCTAAATGGAACCTCCATTCTCAGAGGCAGTGTACCTCCAAAGGCCCAGTTCTGGGAGGGGGGTGGCTGTTGCCCTTGCATCGTGCTTTTAGGATTTCCAGAAGGCTGTCAAACACAGAATGGCCTCTCGGCCTGACCTGGTATAGCCACGGCTCACTGGCAGAGCCTCTGCTTGGCACGCAGGAGGTCCCAGGTTCAGCTAAATGGAACCTCCATTCTCAGAGGCAGTGTACCTCCAAAGGCCCAGTTCTGGGAGGGGGGTGGCTGTTGCCCTTGCATCGTGCTTTTAGGATTTCCAGAAGGCTGTCAAACACAGAATGGCCTCTCGGCCAGACCTGGTACAGCCACGGCTCAGTGGAAGAGCCTCTGCTTGGCACGCAGGAGGTCCCAGGTTCAATCCCCGGCATCTCCAGTTAAAAAGGACCAGGCAGGAGGTGATGGGAGAGACCTCTGCCTGAGACCCTGGAGAGCTGTAAAGAGGGGCTGTGGCTCAGTGGGAGAGCCTCTGCTTGGCACGCAGAAGGTCCCAGGTTCAATCCCCGGCATCTCCAGTTTATATAGGACCAGGCAGGAGGTGATGGGAAAGGCCTCCGCCTGGGACCCCGGGGAGCTGTAAAGGGGGGCTGTGGCTCAGGGGTAGAGCCTCTGCCTGGCATGCAGGAGGTCCCAGGTTCAATCCCCAGCATCTCCAATTTATAAAGGACCAGGCAGGAGGTGATGGGAGAGACCTCCGCCTGAGACCCTGGAGAGCTGTGAAGAGGGGCCGTGACTCAGTGGCAGAGCCTCTGCTTGGCATGCAGAAGGTCCCAGGTTCAATCCCCGGCCTCTCCAGTTTATAAAGGACCAGGTAGGGGCTGATATGAAAGGTTTCCACCTGAGACCCTGGAAAGCGGCTGCCGGTCTGCATAGCCAATGACCTTGAGGCAGCTTCACAGGTTCATGTGTTTAATCTGGGCTCCAGGTTCTTCTCTGATTCCTCAATGTCTCTTCTCCCCTTTGGTGTGTCTCCGCAGCACCTCCCTCGGTCGACGCCATGGAGCACCTCCTGCTGTCCGTCCTGGTGCTCTGCAGCTTGGCCCGGGCCCAGGTGTGCCCCAAGCGCTGCATGTGCCAGAACCTGTCGCCCTCGCTGGCCATCCTCTGCACCAAGACCGGCCTCCTCTTCGTGCCCACGGTGATCGACCGCCGCACAGTGGAGCTGCGCCTGACCGACAACTTCATCACCGTCATCCGCCGCAAGGACTTCTCCAACATGACCAACCTGGTGCACCTCACCCTCTCGCGCAACACCATCAGCCAGATCCTGCCCTCCGCCTTCGCCGACCTGCGCGGGCTGCGGGCCTTGCACCTGGACAACAACCGCCTCCTCTCCATCAGCGGGGAGCAGCTCAAGGGGTTGCCCAACTTGCGCCACCTCATCCTCAGCAATAACCAGCTCCAAGACATCTCCCCCGGGGCCTTCGACGACTTCGTCGGCACTTTGGAGGACCTGGACCTCTCCTACAACAACCTCGTCCAGGTCCCCTGGGACACCATCCAGCGCCTCAACAATGTCAACTCCCTCAACCTCGACCACAACTTGATCGACTACGTCCCCGAGGGGGTCTTCACCAACCTCCTGAAGCTGGCCCGCCTGGACATGACCTCCAACAAGCTGAAAAAGATCCCCCCGGATCCCCTTTTCCTCCGGATCCCCGTGTACGCAAAGTCCAAAGGCTCCCCGCTTTCCTCGTTGGTTCTCAGTTTCGGGGGGAACCCGTTGCACTGCAACTGCGAGCTGTTGTGGCTCCGGAGGCTGACCCGGGAAGACGATTTGGAGACCTGTGCTTCCCCGTCGGACCTCCTGGGGAAATACTTCTGGACTATCCCCGAGGAGGAGTTCATTTGTGAGCCGCCCGTTATCACCCGGCACACGGGGCACTTGGTGGTGACCGAGGGCGAGGCGGCCGTCCTTCGTTGCCGCGGAGCCGGCGACCCGGAGCCGTCCATCCACTGGGTGTCTCCAGAAGGCAAGGTGGTGGCTAACACTTCCCGGACCACCTTTTATGACAACGGCACCCTGGAGATCCTCATCGCCACGGCCCAGGACACCGGGGTCTTCACCTGCATCGCCTCCAACGCAGCGGGGGATGCCACCACCTCTATCGAGCTGCTGGTCAACCCTTTGCCTCACCTGTCCAACGGCACCGCCCCCAAAGTCCCCGCCGCTGCGGGGCCTTCCGACATCCTGACTTCGGCCAAGGCGATCCTCCCTCCCGGGGCTAATGAGACGGGGGCCTCTCAGGAGAAGGGGGTGGTGGCCTCGGAGGTGTCGTCCTCCTCGGCGCTGATCCGCTGGTACCCTCAGTGGCACATCCCTGGCGTTCGGATGTACCAGATCCAGTACAACAGTTCCTCCGACGACACTTTGGTATACAGGTTAGTGGCTCCGGATTTCAAAGTGGTGGGCACTCACGGGGAACGCGTGGGCACACCATGAAATGGCTGAGCGGTCGGGTTAGAACAGATAAAAGGAAGCCCTTCTTCATCCAGAGAGTGATGAACGTGTGGAATTCACGGCCACAGGAAGGGGTGGCTGCTACAAGCATGGATGGCTTCAAGAGGGAATTAGATAAACATATGGAGCAGAGGTCCATCTGTGGCTATGAGCCACAAGATATAGATAGGGACTCTCAGGCTGGGGCAAGGGATGCTCTGTCTTCTTGGTGCTTGGGGGGGGGGCAACAGTGGGAGGGCTTCTGGAGTCCTGGCCCCACTGCTGGACCTCCTGATGGCACCTGGTATTTTTGGCCACTCTGTGACACAGAGTGCTGGACTGGATGGGCCACTGGCCTGATCCAACACTGGCTTCCCTTATGTTCTTATGAATTGGAGAAACATACGGAGCAGGGGTCCATCAGTGGCTATTAGCCACAAGGTATAGATAGGAACTCTCAGTCTGGGGCAAGTGATGCTTTGTCTTCTTGGTGCTTGGGGGGGTGGCAACAGTGGGAGGGCTTCTAGTGTCCTGGCCCCACTGCTGGACCTCCTGAGGGCACCTGGTATTTCTGGCCATTGTGTGACACAGAGTGCTGGACTGGATGGGATTCCTTTCTGAGTAAGTCAGCAGAGTATTAAGAGACTGAGTCCATGGTGTGTATTAAAATATAAAAGTTTACTATAAACCTAACATGGGAAAAAGGTACACAGGATATAAAATAACAAAGAGCTAATATGTCTACATCCTTGCAGCTAAAAGGTAAAACGGGAAGAGCCAAATGGTGTCTCCTTCTCTAGTCAGAACAAAGAGAGGAAAGCGAAACCAATATGCTAAATACTTAGCACCTTGGTTTCCAATCAAACTAGCAAATTAGCTCCAAAGTTCCCAGGCATCCTATTGTCTAAACAGATTGGTTACAAACAAACATGTGACTTAACAAACATCATTAACCCTGTAAATACTGAAGTGTTTTGACTTGTAACACCCAACAATGGGCCACTGGCCTGATCCAACACTGGCTTCTCTGATGTTCTCTTATGTCTGGGGCAAGGGATTCTCTGTATTCTTGGTGCGGGGGGGGGGGCAAGAGTGGGAGGGCTTCTAGTGTCCTGGCCCCGCTGCTGGACCTCCTGAGGGCACCTGGTATTTTTGGCCACTGTGTGACACAGAGTGTTGGACTGGATGGGCCATTGGCCTGATCCAACATTGGCTTCTCTTATGTTCTTATGTGGGTCTTGGGCAATGTTCCTTTAAGCTGTGGAGTCTTGTGAGCAAAAATTCTTCTTTGTGAGCTACTGGCATTAAAGTTGTGAGCGAGCGATTTGGCTGCTGCATAAATTAGTTTGCTCTGTCTGGAGCCCTCCTTCCCGAGCGAAGAGAAAAATGTGTGAGCCGGAGGCTAAAAAACTGTGAGCTTGCTCACACTAACTAAGCTGAGAGGGAACACCGGTCTTGGGCATTTGGCGGGTGTTTGGCCGAGTAGCTCGTAGTGGGTGTTCGGGGCCAAAAAGGGCACCCATCTATTCCAGCATTCCATTTTCTACAGTGGCCAACCAGATGTTTTTGAGAAACCCAACAAATATCGCACAGAGAGTGTCGGTGCCCACACTATGACCCCCCAAGCAAGGGGCATTCCGACATACGCAGCCTTTGCATGTGGAGGTTTCATTCCAGCCTTTGTGGCCACCGGGTCGTTCTTCGTTATTCCCGCTAATCCCCCCTAAGAGTCTAAGCAACTCACACTAGTAACTATCGGGACACGTTTTACTTGATCCGCGTGTATATGCAGTGGAGAAGAAATGCCAATGATTAACTTAAATAGTCTCTGCTACTCAGTTCATTTCATCATGAAATAAAGAGAATCATGAAATAAAGAGAAGAAGGAACAACTCACAGCCCTCCCCCCCCTTTTTAAAAAAGACATTTGCTCAACCAGTTTGGTGTAGTGGTTAGGAGCGTGGACTCTAATCTGGGAGAAGCGGGTGTGATTCCCCACTCCTCCACGTGCAGCTGCTGGTGTGACCTTGGGTCAGTCACAAGTTCTCTCAGAGCTGTTCTCTCAAGGGCAGTCCTCGGGAGAGCTCTCTCAGCCCCACCCACCTCACAGGGTGTCTGTTGTGGGGAGGGGAAGGGAAAGGAGTTTGTGAGCCACTCTGAGACACCTTCGGGTAGTGAAGGGCGGGGTATAAATCCAATCTCTTCTTCTCCACCTCTTTCACATGCAGCTGCTGGTGTGACCTTGGGTCACTCACAAGTTCTCTCAGAGCTGTTCTCTCAAGGGCAGTCCTTGGGAGAGCTCTCTCGGCCCCACCTACCTCCCAGGGTGTCTGTTGTGGGGAGGGGAATGGAAGGGGATTGTGAGCCCCTCTGAGACTCCTTTGGGTAGTGAAGGGCGGGGTATAAATCCAGTCTTTTCTTCTTCTTGTGTGTGACGGGGTGGGGCTAGATTCTAGAAGGGTGAGGTCCCCAGAGGCAGGCCTGCACGGACCCCTTTGTGGGTCCCTTTCCATGTGGGTCGCCTTTCAGTGGGAAGAACGATGGCCTTCGCCTGGAGCCAGGGCCCCGGTGAGACCGAAGCTCGCGGCTGCTGCCCCCGGGCGCTTCGGTGCCTTTGCCCTTGTGGCAGGGAGAGGCAGCAATTCTCTTGTCACGATGAGCATTTGGGAAATATGCAGCGGAGGAGAGGGCGGAAGGAAGCTCTGTGTGGCATGGCACCACGGCCTCATGCACTTCCTCGAGGTCCTCGTTCCTGCCCCCCCCCCTGCGTTCCAAGCTGTGCCCAGTTCAGGAAACCAAATCTAATCAGGGATTCCCCTCTTGACTTTTTCGCCTGCGGTGGTGAAGGGGAAAGGGGCAGCCGGGCTCTACGAACGAGCTGGGAGGGAATCGTCTGGTGCAAACACCGGGCCAGATCTTGGAGGCCTGTCTTAGTTTCTTTGTCCTCCCAGCGCCCGGGGAGCCCCGACACAGACCCTGCTGCCCAGCTCGTGTGAAACGGCCACCGGGTTAATTCACTGGAACCTCTTTCCTTAATCCACCGGAACACAAGCTGAACCGTGAGACGCGATTTCACGTGCTGATTTTCTGCAGATCAGGGTGATGTTAAAGGCAGGGGAACATCAGAAGAGCCTTGCTGGGTCAGACCAACAGTCCATCTAGTCCAGCATTCACACAGTGGCTAAACCAGTTCCTTTGCACTGCCAACAACGGGACATAGAGGCCGAGGCCGTCCCCTGATGTTGCCTCCTGGCACTGGGGTTCAGAGGATTAGTGCCTCTGAATGTGGCGGTTCCCTTTGGCCACCATAGTTAGTAGCTGCTGATAGACCTCTCCTTCCTGAATCGGTCCCATCCCCTTTTAAAGCTGTCTACACCTGTGGCCATCACTACATCCTCTGGCAGCGAATTCCACATTTGAATCACATGCTGTGTAAAGAAGTATTTAAGGGCATCAGAAGAGCCCTGTTGGATCAGACCAGCAGTCCCATCTAGTCCAGCATCCTGTCTCATCCAGTGGCCAACCAGTTCCTTTGGACAGCCAACAACAGGACATAGAGGCCGAGGCCTTCCCCTGATGTTGCCTCCTGGCACTGGGGTTCAGAGGATTAGTGCCACTGAATGGGGAGGTTCCCTTTAGCCGCCATAGTTAGTAGCTGCTGATAGACCTCTCCTCCCTGAATCCGTCTGATCCCCTTTTAAAGCTCTCTTCATCTGTGGCCATCACTACATCCTCTGGCAGCGAATTCCACATTTGAATCACAGCATCCCATCCCACACAGTGGGCAACCTGTTCCTCTGGAGGGCCAACAACAGGGCAGAGAGGCCGAGCCCTTTCCCTGAGAAGGACCTCAGAAGAGCCCTGCTGGTTCAGACCAATAGTCCACCTAGTCCAGCCTCCTGCCTCACACAGGGGCCAGCCAGTTCCTCTGGAGGGCCAACAACAGGGCAGAGAGGCCAAGGCCTTCCCCTGAGAAGGACATCAGAAGAGCCCTGCTGGATCAGACCAGAGGTCCATCTAGTCCAGCCTCCCGTCTCACACAGGGGCCAACCAGTTCCTCCGTAGGGCCAACAACAGGGCAGAGAGGCCGAGGCCTTCCCCTGAGAAGAACCTCAGAAGAGCCCTGCTGGATCAGACCAATAGCCCATCTAGTCCAGCCTCCCGTCTCACACAGGGGCCAACCAGTTCCTCTGGAGGGCCAGCAACAGGCCACAGAGGCCGAGGCCTTCCCCTGATGTGGCCTCCTATTCCTTTTGTCCATCCTGAACCTACTGACCATAAGCTTCACTGGATGCCCTCGAGGTCTAGTATTTTGGGAGAGGGAGAAAAAGTTCTCTTGGTCAGCTCTCTCCACCCCGTGCATAATTTTATAAACCTCTGTCACATGTCCCCCCCCCCCTTAAGTCGTCTCTTTTATAAACTAAAAAGTCCGAGAGACTCTTCAGCTGTTCCGCATAGGGAAGGTGCTCCAAACCCCCTAATCATCCTGATTTGCGCAGGAGCAGGCCAGATTGTGTTTTTCCTGAGCAGCTGGCAAGCGGAGCCCGTGGTCCGGGCAGTCTCTTTCAAGTTCAGCGCCGCTGTACAAGATGGCGGAAGGAGCCGTCCTCTCGTTTGAAGAAGCGAGGGTCCTTGCTTGCAGCGGCGTGGCTTCGAAATGCCTATGCAGCTGTTGTGAATTCTGTGCGCCATCTCATTATCGGTTGTGGATTCTGATGGATTAAGGGAAGCAACTTGAGTGAATCCCGCTCCGCAACGCCCTCGCCTCCCTCCTGGCATCTCTCCTGCGGGGGTTTTGCAGCCTCCTGCAGGTATGGGGGACAACCCCCTCCCCAGTTTAGCTGACTTTCCCAGAAACTCCCCCCACCCACCCACTCACGGTGCCATTTCAACCTTGACTCTCTGCCACGCCCGTGAAGGCGCGATGATTACCCATAATGCC